TATAACAATATTCCCCAAAATAACTGTTGAGACGAACGGCTTTGTGCGTCTTTCTCTGGGCAATAAATGCCATAAAATAGACAGGCCGACAAAGTAACTATTAAAACACTTTTATAGAACGCTTTCGTCTCATTCAGTTAATTTTTTGACTTGATATAATAATCTAAATATGAATTGTAAAAGGCATGTAAATGAATTATAATATTCTATCAATAGTAGCCTAGAAAGGAGATTACTAAACGCGTTGTTAGGTCATCTTTTTAAGTAAAAACACTAAAACATTGCGTCTGTAAACAAAAACAAAAAAAGTTTGAAACTACAATACAAATTTTGTGTGCCTAAAGAGTTTTTCACTTTGATAAAATGAATATATGAAACGAGTAGCCTATATAAAATCAGACTGTGTGTACGAGAAGTTCTTCAAAATGTACAATTAATTTATAAACATTCTAGTTATTTCTGCAGTAGACCTGCAGAAAAGTAATTATAGAGACGAGCACCTAATGTTAAAATGTTGTTTTTCGTATGAGCAATGAAAGAAAACGGCAATGGATTTGTTGTCGTTGTTGCTTGTTATTGCGGAAAAACAAGGAGGCAACAATAGCATATTACTGTTTCATATCTCGCTTAACTTGTGTTCGGGAATCACGCTACATTATATTCGTCTAGCCTATAAAAGGAATATATCCTTCATATCCGAGAGCATATAAACATCACATAGCCTATTTCATTTTACCGATAAGTAAAATTTTATAACATGTAACATTGTTATAGGCTACACTCTACTCAAAATGATCTAATAATAATAATAATAATTGATGCATTTAGCAGACTACATTTAAATTTACACAGACCGTCTCCAACACTGAGAACCGCTAGTTTACTAAAATGTAATTTCCTTTATTGCCTTTGGGTGGCAGCACAGTCCAAATTAAAATGCTTGTTGAAACGCAAACAGTGAATCCCGTCCATATGCTTTTCTCCACATTTTCCGTCTGCTTGGACGTTTTTCGAGACCACAGCTCATAGGCTGCCTTCACGTCCCACAGAGAGATCATTTATTTGTGACTATTCAGCAGTGAGAAACGAATTACTGGTGCAAATTCTCTCTAAATGTAAAGGTTTTGCTATTTTATGCATTTGTAGAATAGAATAGTATAAAATAGAATCAATGGGCAATTGTTAATGAAACAGTAACGATTAAAATGTATCGTCTTATTTGAAATGCAATTGTATCAGCTCTGTGACAAGCGCAAGAAGTTGATGAAAAATTACATCTTTCTGGTTCTTTAAAAAACGTAGACTACATAAATTAACTGCTGTTATCGTTTTTCAGATTAAAAATGTTGGTGGTGAAACTTTACTCGATGTGGCTTGATTAATTTCGCAAATGCAAAAATAAAAAGCCAAGTATTTAATAGGATTGCATTTCTGGTGCTAGTGTTTATTGTATTCTCAAAACTACGTACTGATGCCTTAGTGGCATTGGGTTTGGATTTAACTTAAGCAATTGGTATACCGAAATTATGCATTCTAAAATGCATTTGTTGGGTAAGTAAACTATCATAAACTATAGCTAATAATATTCCAAAGTCTCTAAATAAATAATACGAATAGAAATAAATATATTAATTTGAAGCTGTCACTTTACCAGTTTTCCTTCACACATTTTATTGGAATGAATTCTACATCTTTTTATTCGTTTTCTGTTTTTGTAAAGGTTTCTTTTTTTCTTTCGTTTTCTTTATTTCAGATGTCATTGTGTTAGGGTTGTCTCTTATTTGTGTAAATTGATTTCAGCAAGACGTTTTGATGCCATTTATGTATTTATATTTTGTTTCATTTTTTAAATGATAGTGTCTATTGTAAATGCTTGCTAGTTGAAATGTGAAAGAAGGAAAAGGTTGAAACCTTATTTTGTAATTTTGTTTCGGAAAGGCATGGCACAACATGGCAATTACATGGCAAAACATACTTTAACTGGATTTCACAGATCATTCACGGAGAAGAAAATAGGCTACTAATATCGGACTTCATACTTTTTCCTCTGCCTTTCACTCACCTCTTTCTCGAATTTTTATTTTTGACTGTATGATTCAGATTTAAGTTGGTTCATTTACATGGCAAAATAAATTTAAAAAAGCACACAAAACATCGACTCAAACACTGATTTTATACCTATTTTACCTACTACCGACTTTTGAGATCCGAAGTCATCGTTGTATCAGATTACTGGAAATACGCAAAACGGATTATTATACAAACTTTTAAGTGCTTTGCTATTTAATAACGCAAACACATAAATCTCGTATTCTTAGATTTCAGATGTTTTTTCTCAAATACTTCTATGAGGAACAATGAACCATCTGCGGGAAGTCAAGGCAAATACATATTTATGCCACTAGATGACAGCACCGTTACGCCCAGGGAAAAGGGTTCTTGGAGAACATTTGTTCTGGGACAAACAAAAAATCACTTTTAACTTCTCATCAGTGATTTGGCTAAAGACAACAATATCACAGCCATTATTCACCCATTCGTATTAGCAGCTGATGTCCTTCTATTTTACTCATTCTTTTCTGGAAATTGAATTAAATCGATACATTAAAAAGAAACTGATCATTTGCGATAAACATTTGTAGGCCTATTGTTTATGCATTTGTGTTAAACAATTTGGCAGAATGTAGACATTCGTAATAATTATAAAGATACAAATATGGTAGTACATCATTTAATATGGGGAGTTTTATTTGAATACTGTCTGCAGTAAAACATGAATGAATTTGTATATTTCGCAGGTGCCTGGAAGCGACTTTGTAGGCTATTTACAAATGTGCGTATGGGGTAAATAGAAAATAAAAGCTCAAAAGAAAAATCTGTCACGACTTGGGGTAAATTTACTGTACAGTTAGCGTAGCATGCAAATCCACAGTCTAAAAGGTACAGTTGTTTTTGATGTGTAAAAATAAAAAATACACGAATTTCCATGGTTTTGTCTGTTTACTTTACTGATTTTCTTAGTTGAAAGTGTAGCTATTTTACATTCCTCCCACGTCTTTGCCAAATACATTATAGATTAAAACGAATAAAAAATCAAGTGGTGAATATGGGTTCATTGTTCTTCGCCTTTTATCAGTGTCAGTGTCCTGGCAATATGTACACAGGGAAGTAAAATATAAATGTCCCCTCCTGCGCATCTCCGCATAGTCTCTTGACGTGGAACAGATGATAGAATGGATTTCAGAATAAATAATGTTGAAGGTCCTTCCATTTATACCCCTTTGGTATTTCAGTTTTGAATTCTTTCAGACCTTAACTGATGCCCTTGTACTTGTTGACCACTTTCTTCTCTTTCACCCGCCTGTTTTGAAACCAGATGGTCACTTGTCGCTCGGTCAGGTTTGTGTGAGCAGATATCCTTCTTCGTTTGTCCTTAGTAATGAACTTATTTGCGGCATATTCTCGTTCTAGTTCCTTCAATTGAACCTTGGTGTAGGGAACCCGCTTCTTTCTCCCTCGACGCACTGAGGCTCCATCGGTACCCGAGACAGTATCTAGGGGTCAGAAGAAAACCAAAATAAGGTTGGTTGCCAAAGCGTAATGAAAATAGATGTTCATGCCAGAAATGTCAAATAATAAACTAGAAAATAAAAACACAATGTGTCTTCAAAGCAGTGCAACAAATAAAACACCTAAACGTCGAACGAAATAGGCTATTAGCATAAAAACTATTTGCAATCATGAAAAGTGGTGAGAATAAAAATTGTACTTGACGAGGAACTTCTAGTAAGCCCCTTCGTTTTTAAATAACACTTGCTATTCGTAGGCCTAAAGGTCAATTTTACGCACACTACATTTTTCGTTTAGCCTAAATCCCTAGTGCGTTGGCTATTTCCCCCCCAGATAATAAAACAGAAATACAGCATTTTTTTTTTTTACCTTGAATAGACGATTTCCATAAGCTGTTTGACTGCGTTTGGTCTTTAGGGCAATACATCGGACTGCTCCATCCGTTCGTGATTGCCCAGGGCTGGTACGTTTCAACAGGCAGAAGAGACTCGTGTCTGGGTTCCACAGGGGTGCTCAGCGCAGGTACGACTGGCACGTCAAGATAACTCGGTACAGGCTGGTAAGGGCCAGACGAGTAACCCTGGTAGAAGGCAAACTCCTTAGCACGACAAGGGAACTCCTCTCCAGAAACAGACGTGTCCATGTATTTTTCCCCATAGGAGGTGGGCTGCGTGCAGGACTTGGGCATCCTACACGGGTAATAGCTGCCGCCAAAATATCCATAGGGCAAAGAAGCACTGGGAGAGTTCTGTACGGCTGAACACGGACTGCATTGTTTGACAGGTTCCCCCATGCCCGATCCTGGCACCTCACTCGACGTGTAGGTTGTGCTCGGGGCCAAAGAAGACGGGTGGGCAATAAGATTCCTGCACTGGTTAGCAGCAAAATTGCCTCCCAGAAATCCTTCCATGTTTTTGCTCATATCATCCAAGCCGTTGTCATAGAGAAACATCACTGGGTCAATCCAGCGGGAATGGAGGAGTAAAGACGCTGTCATAGCACGCCCTACATGGAGCCTACCAGCTCTTTTAGAATTCCCCAAGACTGAAAGGCAAGCAGTGGATCAGTGGAGTAACAGATACCCATGCGTCCCGTGTGCGTCAAGATCCAGCTATTATTGGACGAGCGGAGGCACGTGACATGCAAAGAGGCTGATAAACGTCTAAACTGGAGATAACGCCGATCTAGCAAGACAAGCATACTGCACTGAACTGAAACAAAGTGGAGGGATTTGGTCAAAAATAGCTATAAAGATTCTGGCGATAAGCTTTATCCTGACGAGGAAACCAAGTGCCATTCCATTGCGCAATGGGACTGGTACATATTACGCACCTTCCTTTATAAGTATAGCCTACAATTTAACAGTGAGATTAATACAAATTTGTAAATATAATTTTCTCACATACTATTAAAACAGTTAACAGTAATGAAAAAGCTAACGCGGACAGCTTAACTTTTCGAACTCGACTTCTTTTCCTATGCTGCTTTTTTTTAAAGAAAAACATTTGCTTGTCTTCCAAGCCATTTGATGATGTGAAAATTAAATAAGGAACCAAAAAGTCTTAAAGTGGCTATTTTCTTTTTTATATATATATATTTTACTCTACAAAATTTTGCACAGCCACAGTGAACCACCATTTCGAGCCCCATGAAATTGTCAAATAACAAATCACACTTTATGAAAATGACCACCAGTTTATTACTCTATACGGCTAGAAATCCAGCCCACAATTTGGCAAGACTCGTTTACATTTGAGTTACGCGCGGCTGGAGGCCAAGGTCAAGTTGAAAGTTGCAGTCTAGCCAGGGCCCTTGCTGTCATTGGAGGCTAGACCGTCTGGCAGGAAACAACCACACATCTCCGGGTGCATTGTAAACAGGAGCACAAAGGTATTATACTACTGCTTGTGATGCCACAGATTCAACATGAACGTCTCTTGATCAATGTTTTCATTACAGCTTTGGTTATCTGATGTCTTGGCACAGTGGTCTGACTGCTGGAATTATAGCAAGACGATAGAGTAAAGAGACGTAGGCTAATATTTAGGCTTGTATTATTTGTATAAATAATAATAATACACGTTAAACATTTAAATATGAATAGTATTCTTACCTATTATAGGAGTCGATTATCAGTGTGATTATAAAACCGTGTAATAGGATGCATTAACAAATAATCACAGTTATTTCAATCATTTTAAGTCAGTTGTATTTTTTTCTGAAATTAGCACACAGGATGAGCGACTATAGTATCCTATACGAGGATATCGTACTCCATGACATAAATGTTCAAAAAAAATATTTGTATTTTATTTATTTATTTTTCAATTGAATTGCAGACTAATAAATTCAAACACAAAAATGTGTTGCGGTTAAATTAATAAACCCCCTTCGTTTTGGAATGATTCTTTAAAATACAGTCAATAATATTTTTGACCATTATCTGCGAAACACCGAATCCCTTACAGCTCAGAAACTGTTACTTTAATGTTGAATAATATCAGCCAGTTAGGCTATTTAAGGTGATTTAAAACAATAGATTAATTCCTACTTTTGTCGTTATTATTATTATTATTATGTGCACACGGCATAGCTGTTTATGAGGAGCACAGAAAAATGATAAACTGATAAATTCGAGCGCTGTTAAAGAATCAGGTCTTTTTTTAGTCAGCGGGCAGCCGTTTGTATAGCTCACTATCCAGCAGAGTACACAGGAAATAAGCTCGCTGGTGGCGTGCAAACACTGGCATGTTAGGCGCCAAGTCCCTATTTGATCTTTTTAAGGTTTCTTGAGCTATTAACGTTCAGCGTTGTTCGACCCTCTCTCAATAGCTGAGCTGTGTAAAAGACAAAGTCAACATGCGTACAGACGGATGTGGGAATTGTTGCTGCACTAGATCCAGAAAATTCAATGCACTTCTAAATTTACCTTGACGATGGATGAGGCGACCGTTCATAGGCTACATCATTCCTCGACATTAAAAATCAATTGTTTCCTCAAGATTTTACATAAACCACGGCCGCCGTACTGTGTTTAGACTATATTATAGGCTACTTTAGCCCTGTGAGCAGGCCAACTGCATGTGGACTATTTAATATATCTATGCTATTTACATTTACAAATTCACAGAGCATATTAATGACGATGTTTACTTAAAAATTAGATATACTACTGTTACGTTTGTGGTAGTAAGATTTAGGATAAATCAATTTAATTTAAATTAATTTAAATCAATATGTGGATAGGAAAAAATAAAAATTCTGTAAATGTGTCTGTAATTTCAATGGACTGAAATAAGACTTGGTGTAACAGTTTCAACCACCAACAAAGATGCAGCGAGGCTTGGATTTAATATCTTCTCAAAAACAGAGCAAAAGACTGGAACTGAGTGAAATGTATGCAAATTTAGCTGCCTACATCTTTTTCATTTCAGGTTCAGATTCTGAAAGAGGTACTTTTACTCATCTTGTTCTACAAATACACTCACGAAAACCAGTGAAGACAAAGTAGTAGGGGCTTGTGTAAATGCATTAAAAGTAAATAGCCCATTTGAGAGGCACGAAGCCTTAAGACCTTATTTTGTACGTTACGTTATAAAATAGCACATCATTAGATCTCACTTAATGTCACCTGCGCTACATTTCAGGCACATACTAACATTGCGGATGTCGCCTACTAATTATTAATGGATTGATAGAAATGTTTGCAAATGTAAATACAATTGTAATTCGAAATTATGGCCAGAATTAGCCTACTTTCCAATTAAATGATTCGTATGACGCGTCTTGACACAGTTTTACATGATCAGATAAAGCGTAGAAATCTTTTTAAATGTGTGGTACTAAAAATGGTCAGAAATATCTTTAAAAAAAAAACCTGCACGGCATTGGTCTTGTGGAATGATTATGGCCAGACCTATATCTAAAAACACTAGGTTACATATTAATCAAGCAAATATAATAGCCTATTAATATAATTAATTATTAAAAATCTATATAATGCACGAAAAATTGAATTAATGCAGTAATCTAATAGGCCTTTGAGAACAATGTATACATCGCCTTCACCCTGTGCTACAAAACAATTCAGATGAAATCATATTGAAATAAGCTATAACATTATTCGCAGATAAATAGTTGAAAATGAATTTGGATTACTATGTTTTTCTGCATTAAAATTAATGCAAATGTTCATAAATGTCACAACTTTGATGCTTTAAAGCAGAAACTCGATGTCCAGTATATCCGTAGAGTTATGTGGAATCATTGTTTACTCTCAGTGCTGATAAAATATCTCCAACCACCTTTATTATGCAACATTAATGTTTTAATGAAGTGGAATAAATTGTTTTATTGGCACATTATGATTCAAAGTCCAAACATTCGTCATAGGAATAATTCTCTTTCTCTGAAACCAAAGAGTTTGACTGAAATATATTTTTGTGTTTACATGTGTGTTATATGTATAGGCCTAGATATTGTAGCGAAAAGCGTAGACTAAATAGGCTATTTTTAATTTAACTCGTTTAATGTCCAGGCTATTATAAGATACAATTAAATTCCACTGACGTAAATATTAATTGTCCTAAATAAAACCATTTTGTAGATAAAGTGCTGGAAAAAATGCCAATGAAAGAACTTTCTAAAATACTTTTAGAAAATGTTTTCAAACAAACGTTTGGTCCCAGTTTTTTTTTTTCTCAATTACTAAATACAATTATTTATATAAATGATTTTTAATGAAACAATGTGTGAAAATAATGAAATAAAACAAACAAGCTTGTTTGGATAAATATAGGCTAAAGGTAATGAGTGGGATCGATGGACCCATTTTTTTTTTTTTTTTTACGATAAACACACTGGACTTCTCAGCTAATTCTATACCGTGGTTCTATTTTCTGAGTTATCAAACCTGTCTGTTCTGGAAATCCAGATAGTGAGGTCTCGGCTAGCATGCTATATTTCAAGTAGTTAAACCTAACAACCACATTACACCATACTCAAAATCCAAGTAGTAGGACACATATCCTAGTTCGACCACACCTGCTGCTCGTGTCAAGGTCCATACAATTAAATAAAACATATTAAACCTACTGTACGTATTTGTCACACGAAAAATAAAATTAAATCAAACAATTAATTAAATATAATTTGAGAGAACTCGTAGTTCACGGAGCAGCAGCAAGAGTTTTACTTTGAATAGGGTGTCTTGTATATTTTGATCATTTCAGAAATAAAATTAATATAAAGTGTTACCCAAGTGTTTGTCTGAAACGACCTGCTGAAGAAAAATTGTGTGAAATTACAATATAATAACAATTACACATAAAGAATGCTATTAACTTAACTCCGAGATCACACATCTGAGCTGTTCCATAATCATATAAGAGTTCCCATCCGTTGGATAGTTTTAGAAACATGTTTTATTCAATCAACAGTGTTGGGAGGTTACTTTGGAAATGTAATAGGTTACAGATTACAAGTTACCCTACTTAAAATGTAATAGTAGTGTAACTTTTTCAATTACTTTATTAAAGTAATGTAACTGATTACTTTTGATTACTTTTTGATTATGTAACTGATTAGTTACATTTATTTTGTAATTAAATTACGTAACGCCGTTACATGTAACTAGTTACTCCCCAACACTGTCAATCAATACACCTTTAACGGCTAGGCAAAAAAAAAATAGGCTAATAAAATACAAAAAAAAGAAGAAATTGATGTAACAGGCGAAGCAGAAATCGCCATTTAATGTTGTTAATCACCACGTGGCCTTTTAGTCAGTTGATGATGATTGTCCACATAATCCGAATCTGAAGCGTGCCGGTGACTAAAATGACAAAAAGAAACTACACAACGAATAAAAAGGATAATTAAGATAATGTTTTCGGTCTAGAAAATCTTTACCTCTGAGAAAAGATTTTTTTTCAATGACCAGAGGGACCAGAAAGCGTCATGCTTTAAGTGGGTGAAACCGGAATGAGATTCCGGGTTTGGGGCTGTCTGAAGTCTAACTACCCCATGGTCCTCTGTTTGGAAGACCTGCCAACTAGATAACAACACAGCACTTAGGCCTCCATGCTTAATGGGCTTTTTATGGGTCTGTCCTGTGATCATGTGACCTCTAGCATTATGGCCTCTCTGTGGCTCTTTGGTGGGTAGACAAGAAACATATACCGCTGACTGCTTTTTCCCTCGTTTTGGAAACCAGGAGAGCAAAAGTGAGTTTGACAAGAAGAGGCGAAAGACAATGAGAGAAGATGGAGCAGCAATGCAAAGTTCTGAGGGGAGAAATAGGGGAAAAAGAAAATAGTGAGCAAGAGAGAAAGTGAAGTCATGAAGACACCTTATTATGTTCCTCACAATATGTATCTTGACTGTATCATTATTAGCTTCTTGGAACTGTGACTGAAGCCAGCTGGGGCACACAAACGGATGAAATTACATATTAATGATTGCTTGAATATAATTTTTACTGGGTTCCTGACCTTGAAATATCTGTTATCATCTTCTCATTCTCATGGCATTCCAAACCATTATGAATTTCTTTTTTAAAATACAACAAATTATATTTTTGTCCATACAATTAAAGTCAAGGGGTCTTGTATTGTTTTGATCCCCACTGGCTTTGATAAAAACACTTCAAAACATTCTTCGAAAGATGTTCTTTTGCGTTCTATGAGAAAAAACAACATAAGAGTGAGTAAATAGTGACAGAATTATTTGTGGGTGAATTATCCCATCCAGTCTAACGCGGAGAACATGAAACTAAAATAATACAATTTCCTTGATGTGTAAAAGACTTGTAGTGTTGATGAGTCGTTTTTATTGTGCATGTTACATGCCACTGAATTCAAGGTGAGGCTTCATAAAGAAGCATCAAAAAACATTCCACTGCTTGACCTTGAAGAGAGGGGTAGACCAGGTAAAAATATGTGCTTTGTTGCATCATTTTAACTGGTTAACCGCATTCATCAGGATTACCTATACAATTGTAAACCTTGCTTAGTACCCTTACAATACCACTTCAGTTTCCAGGTTTGCGTAGAACTGAAAAATAGGTGTTATAAACTTGCATCAACACGCCACAGTCTTAACATCAAAGCTACAGATATTTCCTGCTTTCATTTCCAGGTGTTTACATGTAGATCCAACACTATTAACAATTGCCAAGACTAGGCCACAGCAAATTAGACTCAACAGATACATTAAAGATATAAAAACTAAAATTGTACATATGCAAAGAGAAGGAGTGTAACGGCTGATCTGAGTCTTGCGGGTTTGTGAGAATGAAATGATAAATTTTTGTTAGCCTACAGAACAGCAACGAAGGCAAGAAAAAAAAATCAGAACAAAAATTTAATTCACGGCATCTCATCAATTGATTGGTGGATTACTAATTGTACATGAGTGGACCCACAAAAGTAACATGATTCCAACAGGAACTCACAGCCTCAAACATTACACACACACACACACACCTTTCCCACTACCATCCAATCTACATATGTGCTCACTCACTCATTCATTCATTTATTTATGGCTCCCAGCACACGCATGCCAATGAAATCACATAGTTGGGTCAAAGTTTTGCATGTCAGGTCATGTGAAAGGCAGGCAGTGCTGGGTAAGGCTTTGGAAGGGACAGAGTGTTGCCGTCTACTGGCCCTCCTCTTCTCGAAGGAACTGGAAGACAGATGAGAAGTCCTTGCTGGCGTAGCCGCGTGCGCACATCATGCGGTAAATCTGATGGGCCAGAGAGCCCAACGGCACTGGTGTCTTTGTGTTAGTTGCTGTATTCTGAGCAAGTCCCAGATCCTGAGGATAAATGATAGAAAATGTCCATGTGAGATAAGCATAACTGCACATTTGAAAAGTTAACTATTAGATGTGTTCTTGCATTTAAAAAACGCTATCTGCAACCGAATACAGGGCCTCAAGGCAATTTTAAAGAAGACAATTACTAAATTAACACGCAGTCTCCCCCACCCACCCCATAATATTTAACAACAGTGTGAAATGTGACAATAGCATTAACGTTTATGCTTATATCAGTGGTAGCAGTATATAATAAGTGTTTATTTAGCAGTAGGGATGCACTGAAATGAAAATTCTTGGCCAAAGCAGAAACCGAACAAAATGACACACTGGGCCAAAGGCCGAATACCGAGCATGGTTTTCCATGTTTTTTTCCCCCATGTATTTTGCCAATTTTCTTTTTACCATTGCATAAATTAAATGGCCAAAATGTGCTTTTTACTGTTTTGTCTTGCTTTTCAAAGAAAAAAAAAATCAATTACCAAACAACAATTGAAATTTTTTTAACATTGAACATTTTTAAACTTTCTAGCAGACATTACACCAACAAACCACAATTTAACAAGTTAATCTGAAGCACTTTGAAGCATTGCTAATACAAGACATTTACATTTAAAGAGACACACTGACAGTGTTCCATAAAATTTATTCCTTAATTTTTATTTACAAAAAACTAACTTTACTTTCATAAACATACCTTCAAGAGTAGACAAATCTTGTATTACCCTGAAGGGTTAAATATTTTTTTGGCCATTTTTGAGACCCCCTTCTTGAATCAGGCATGTATTTTTTACTGTACAAATAAATGCAGCCTTGCTACTCTTTTAAAATATTAGAATATATTACAGATCCCAATTTGAACACTGTGTGTGAATGTTATAATAAATGTATTAATAGAGCTGTTGTAATTATTATCATTATTATTATTGTCTTTTTTTATTTTACAGAACAACAGAAAGATTACAATCCTAACATTTATGAATGTTGATGGAGTTGCTTTTTTCAGCTTTTATTTTGGGGGAAACCACAGGAAGACCTAAGTGCTTCTTTTTGTTGACAACAGCAGATTTATAAATTATTCTTATTATGAATTTGGGAAGATGTTTGTCGCACGTATCGCATTGTCACATGCCTTGTAAAAAGTCATAAAAATGATACTGAGCAACTGACGAGCGACACTGTTTCAGCACAGATTTTTGTCATGCTTTGGACTTTGAACCCTGACTAACAAGCTCATCATCTCTGTCAGAATACATGCAATTCCTGCGTGTATTACAAAACATAACATTCTGCAGTTTATTTACCAATTGTTTAAGGCCATTACTCAATTTCACTCATCAAACAGTAACCAGCAACAACCACCCCTTCCTCTTCTCATCGAAGGCCTGTGATGTGCTGTCAGTGCTTAATGATTTTTCCGTCTTTCTCGGACCGTTTTAAATGATTCCACACTGCCGACAAGTTTGTTGCATTATATAGAGTGCGCGCCTCTCACTCTACACTGGTTGCTATTTGATCACATCACGTCATTGTTCGGTACAATTTATTCGGTATTTTCGCTTATTCCAAAATTAAATTATAAATAAATAATTTCGGTTGCTGAACATTCGGTGCATCCCTATTTAGCAACAAATCAGCACAACAGAATAAAAATTCAGCTTTGTCATCACAGGAATAAATTGCATTTTAAAATATATTCACATTGTAAAAATTTAACATTCTCAAACAAAACAAAAAAAAAACAACACAAACGAAACTTCTCAAAAACTCTCTATTCCAAACATTTGAACACCAATATAAAAAGTGGAAAAATAGACTAGACTTCACTAATCAAATATTTTGTTTATTAGTTACCCCTTATGTTAGTAGTAACCACAGTGGAAACTAATATATAAAAAAACAATGCAAACCTTGGCCATTAGTGTAGTTCCGAAGCCACCCTGGTAGTTGTTTGCAGCGGGCACTCCCTCCATAACTCCCGGGACAGGGTTGTATGTGTCACTTGACCAGCAGCGGCCAGAGCTCATGTTCAAGATCTTCGCCAGAAGTTTTGGGTCAAGCCCTAATCTGTGAATGCACAAATGAATACAAAGCCATTCTGGTTAAAAAGTAGAAAATAATACAATCTGTAGAAAAAGTAAATGCATCAAGACAGCTGTATCATTGAATCGTCTGTGTAATCGCTTTTGCTGAAAATGTACTTAACCTAGGCCATCCACCATGTAGATGAGTTTGTTCTTCATCCAAACAGATTTGGAAAAAATGTACTCATAATTTGTCCAGAAGTTGAGAGTTTTAGGTTAAAATGCCTTAATAATGGATTTGTTTCTTACAAACACACTGCTTTTCACTTCACAAGATGTTTATCGACAGACTGAATTAGTGTGGATTATTGTGATGCTTTTATCAACTATTTTGGATTCTGATGGCACCCATTCACTGCAGAGGATTCACTGGTGATCAAGTGATTCTACAATTCTTCAAATCTGTTCTGAAGAAGAAACACTCATCTATATCTTGAATGGCCTGAGAGTGAGTACATTTTCATCAAATTTTCATTTTTGGGTGCACTATTCCTTCAAGTAATTCAACTGCGAACTGCACCTGATTCCCAAGTTCATGGTCTCTGCTGTTCCAATCATCCCAATGGCGAGCAGCATATTGTTGCAGATTTTAGCTGCCTACCAAACAAGGAAGAGAGAGAGATTATGACCAGAAATAAATAAGCACCTTTCTAAGAATGGCACTATATTCTTAAATACTCTGTTTGTACCTGTCCGGTGCCAACTTGGCCACAGTACACCACATTAGCACCCATACAGCTCAGAAGCTCCTTGGCTGCATTGAATTCCTCCTCTAGCCCACCAACCATAAAGGTGAGCTTACCTGAAGTGGCAGCACCAACACCTGAGATAAATATAGAAAACGATGCAGATCATATTGTACATTACACACACACACAAGGTAAAGTTCCCCTAAAAAGGAAAATTCTGTAATTTATCCACACTCATGTTGTTTCAAACGTGCATGACTGACTTCTGCAGAACACAAAATAAGATATTTTTAAGAGCGCTACAGCTGTTTTTGTCCATAATTTACAGATTAGTATCATGAAGAGACAATTTTAAAGGGATAGTTCACCCAAAAATGAAAATTGTCATTAATTACTCACCCTCATGTCATTTCAAACCCATAAGACCTTCGTTCATCTTCGCAACACAAATTAAGATATTTTTGATGAAATCCGAGAGCTTTGTGGCCCTGCATAGACAGCAAGGGATCTACCACGTTCAAGAAAGGTAGTAAGGACATCCTTAAAATAGTCCACTTGACATCAGTGGTTCAACCGTAATTTTATGAACTATCTTTTTTGGGTAATCTATCCCTTTAAGCATTTTTAACTGAAATAAAATGGAACACTGACTACATCAAATCTGATGTTTGGTCATGTGACATCCAAGAACCAATGAGGTTTGATGTTAGCTGATATTTGAAGTTTGTGATGTTACCATCTTGTTAGGTTAAAGGGATACCCCAAAATTAAAATTGTCATTAATCACTTACCCCCATGTCATTCCAAACCCGTAAAAGCTTTGTTCGTCTTCGGAACACAATTTAAGATATTTTGTATGAAACCGGGAAGCTTGTGACTGTCCCATAGACTGCCAAGTAAATTACACTGTCAAGGTCCAGAAAAGTATGAAAGACATCGTCAGAATAGTCCATCTGCCATCAGTGGTTCAACCGTAACGTTATGAAGCGACGAGTATACTTTTTGTACGCGAAGAAAACAAAAATAACGACTATTCAACAATTAGTCTCCTCTGTGTCTCTCCGCATCACCGTAGCGCCATTTTGGAGAATAACCACTGAAAGCAAGCAGCGTACGCTCTTCTGTGTCAGCCGCGACACAAGGATACATTTTCTACGTGTATTTATGCTTCGATTTGAACGAAAACAGCACATCCCTGCAGCACAGCTGACACAATAGCGTACGTTGCTTGCGTTCAGTGGTTATTCTCCAAAATGGCGCTACGGTGATGGAGTAAGTGATTAATGACAATTTTAATTTTGGGGTGGAGTATCCCTTTAACTGAGGCCTAAATTTTGATTTGTTCATCAGACAAAGCAAGTCTTAAGCTACTTCAGCAGACTTTGGATGAACCAGTTGAGTCATATGAACAGGATATGGAGCTTGAAGTTTCTGGACACCACAAATTTTTTATTGTTAGGACAAAAACAGCTGAAACATTTGGCAAAATATCTCCATGCGTTATGTAGAAGAAAAGTCCATACGAAATTATACCAACATGAGGGTGAGGAAAAGCAAGAATTTTTTAGGGTGAACCAGTTTAAACTGACATACAACCCCAATTCTAGTGAAGTTGGGACGTTTTATAAAAAAAGCAATAAAATCAAGAATCTGTGATTTGTTCATTCTCTTTAACTTTTATTTAATTGACAAAAGTACAAAGAAAAACTTTGGAAATCTTTCACTGACCAACCTAAATGTATTTTGTAAATAGAAACAAATTTAGATTTTGATGGCTGCAACACATTCCAAAAAAGTTGGGACAGAGGCAAAATAAAAGTGAAAAGGTTATAGAATATCCACTTTAAACTGTTTTGAAACTGTTCACAGTAAGCAGGTGAATTGGTAATGGGTAAAGGTATCATGTTTGAGTATAAAAGGAGCATCTCAGTCTTTGCAAGCAAAGCTGGATCATGGCTCATCACTTTGTGCCAAATTTCAGA